CATTGTACATTGGTATAATGTGCACCTCTGTCTACCGCAGTCGCCCAGCCTACTGGCAGCCTACTCTACTGAGTAGGCTACCAGGAGCCTAGTACATGAGGGAGAACCCCTCTGTGGCTCGAAACTAGTAGAGCTTTTCTCAGTATATTCACGTGAGTAACCCGCGTTTTTAGTTAATTTAGTACATATGTCTCACGATAGTTATTATAAAACGATATGAGTATGACTTAAAAAAGCAAGTTCACCTCTATTTACGTTCTCGGGGGAAATACGCTGTTTATATTAAGCAAATATGTCGATAATTACATACCTACATGAAACATATGATGTCATCTATTAGATAAATATTTACTCATTTTATAGTCTTACACTAGAAATGTATGGCGAATGTCTCCTATTATTTGCATAGGATAATTAAACATTATGTTTCATCTATTCTCTTCGGCATAATCAGCCAGAAGACACCCATTGCTGAACAAAGGTTTCGTCCTTCCGCTATGCTTGAATAATTTGTATTCTTCAGCTACACTGCCTCGTTGGCCGAGTGGTCGCAAGTGTGACTGCCGGGCAAGGGGTCTCCGGTTCGATTCCTGGGTCGGGCAAGGTATTACAGAGTTTTTAAAAAAAATCTCAGTATCTCAGTACTAGCACGGAGCCTGGAATTGTGTCCGGTATATGATAATAGGCTCACCCCCTATTACATGGGACTGATAACATAAATAGTGAAAAGTGGGTGTTACATTGTACAGTGGCATAATGTGCACCTCTGCCTACCCCTTCGGGAATAAACAGCGTGATGTTATGTTCATCATACATACATACATACATGTTAACAATTTGTGGATCACACAAAGAGTTGCTCCGTGCGGTAATCGAACCCGCGACACGTTGCCCACCGCACCAACCGCGCCGTCAAGGTAGATACTTCTATTTAATAGAGTGCATTCTGTCTAATAATAATGTGTTGGGCCCGCTTCTCATGCATGAGAGTGCGGGATCGAAACCTACCAACGGCAAGTACCAATGTGACTTTTTCCGAGTTATATGTACTTTCTAAGATTATCTAGACACCACTGACAAACGGCGAAGGAAAACATCGTGAGGAAACCTGGGCTTATAACTTTTAATTATAAGTCTGTAATCGACAAACGCATTGAGCAAGCGTGGTGATTAATGCTTAAACCTTCTCCGTGGGAGAAGAGGCCTTGCTCAGCAGTGGGCATTTATTGGCTGTTGATGATGATTCTACCTATCCGATTAAGGACCAAAAGTCGAGATATTATATAACGTTGTTATTCAATCACCATATCATTATGTTTGTCACTGACCTGGTCACAATTTAATTCGAAGAACTATGACTTGGTCTAACTCGATGATACATGGATCTTGGACATTCTCCGTAGCAATCTGATGACCCCTTCCTGTTGACGCTTGAGGATATGACACGTACCAAATACTAATGTTTTTGAGGCGTACTTTTTGTAGTTTTGCGTTTTAGTAGCACAGAATGTGCGACTGCCGGGCAAGGGGTCTCGGGTTCGATTCCCGGGTCGGGCAAAGTATTACTAGGTTTAAACAATACATAAAAATTCTCAGTACTAGCGCGGAGTATGGAATTGTGCCCGGTATATGGCAATAGGCTCAAAACGAGAAAAAGAAGTAGGAACGGGGTAAATTTTAGTCAGTAAGAGTTTGACACTCCCTTTCGCCTCACCCAGGCGGGAGCAGTCATTGGACGATTTTCCCCTCTCAAAAAAAGGTATGTAGTTATGTAAAAATATTATCAGCTTATCACATTTCAGGACGCGTTTTATTCCCGCGACGTATGCGATTGTTTGCGGTAGGTAAAAATTTAATAAAATAATTAAGTTTGCAATAAAACTTAATAGGTATAACTTTGCAACTTCAACTAAAAATAAATTAAACTACTATAAGAAGTACTTAATAAAGGTCTCCATTTTTCTCACCATCAAACATTTTTATTTCGTCCAATCAAAACACCAATTTCATAAAATAAATGTCAGTCAATTTTAACTGAGGAAACATCTCAATTGGCTCGCAGGGCCGGATTAACGACGCAGCATGAGTAGTATTTGGTAAGGGCCCCGCGCAAACGGGGGCCCGCGTCACCAAATTCGTCTCTGCCTTAGAATACTTTTTTGTGAAACTTAATTATAGGACTCGCTCAGATTTGAAGCCATTTTATGTTTTTTTTAAGGGTGAAAATCGTCGTATGACTTCTCCCGCCTCACCAGAGGTGGGAGGGAGTGTCAGACTCTTATTGACTAAATATCACCCCGTTCCTACTCTTGCACTTCGAGTCGCGCCCCGCCCCGTGTCAAAGGTTACCCGTCACATTCTTCGTGGCTCCGTATCGGCATCAGCACTATTGGGCCCCATCCGTTGTAGATTTGAAGACTTTGGCAAGGACTTAGGCCCTCGTTTCGATGAATTCATAGTCCGAAGGACACGTGTGACCTATGGTGATGGCAGAGTAGAATACATTTTTCGCCACCTCTTCGTCGCAAGTATCATACACCCTTATCCCATTCTTCTCGAGGTTACCGCAAGAGTGAACTAAGGGGGCTACTCCCTGATAAATCTGTACCTTTTAAATTGTAGTCTCCAATCACTTGCCAAGCGTCGACGTTAGGGAGCGTCCATAAATTACGTGAGATGTTTTTTATTCATTTTCGGTCCCTCCCTCCCCCCTCGTGAGATTTCGTGAGATTTTATTTATCACCCTCCCCCATCCCCCAATCTCACGTGAGATTTTTCAAAATGTTGGTTTATCACGTAAAAGCGTTGGATTGTTATTGCAAAAAGAAAAAAACCAATGTGCATGTACAATTAAATCTTAAGCATGTACATTCTGCATTAAATGAACTAAAATAGTTAATTTTTTTTTTTGGTTTCAATCAGCTTAAAAATTACCGCCTAGATCTACCCCCCTATAGAGAGACCCCTTAAACATCTCACGTAATTTATGGATGCCCCCTTATGGCATATCCTTCTTTCCCATAGTTCTAGCTGTGGACTCTTGACAAGCGGTTGATAGTGACGATGAATTACGATGATACAGAATGTGAAAACGCAGACAAAACATTGTTGTTTTTACAATTTTAACAGTTTTTTATTTCCAATTGATTACAATTATTATTACATATATTTTATGGAATAGGAGGCAAACTAGCAGACGGTCGTTTGCCTCCTATTCCATCGCGATCAGCACCGCCCATTGATACCCACAACACCAGAGAAGTCACAGGTGCGTTGCCGGCCTTTTAAAAAGGAATACGCTCTTTTCTTGAAGGTCGTATCGGTTCGGAAATACCGCCGACGACAGACAATTCCACAGTTTTGCTGTGCGAGGCAGAAAGCTACGTGAGAAGCGCACAGTTGTGACCTGAAAAATAAAAGAAACACATTAAATTCCTTACTATTTTCAAAATAAATCTATATTTTACTATATCTTCCTTTTTTATGAGCGATCTCTTACATCCCGTGTACCTATAGGTATATAAGATCAAGGGGCCCCTCAGTAAAATAGATCACGGGCCCCGCACTAAACAAATCCGGCTCTGGACACAATCATCAATGGTCAGTCGAGTACATTCGAGACGGTAGCCTCGGTCGTTAGCACTTATAGTCAGACAGTCAGTCAGTCAGTAACAATCGATCTACGTTCGCTAGCACGGAGCGCGTTCGAACAAGGTTTAATCGTATTGTTTATACCTAATACAAGTGAATATAGAAACAATATTTATTGTATCAAATTGAGTGGTATTATTAGTGAGAATTTTACTCAAGAGAAATTGTTTTTTGAAGGCTTTTCAAAGGTTTGTTTTATTTTAAGATTTTTTTTTTTTGTAGAATTATAGTTTTTAATTTTGTATGGTCCTCTTTGTTAAGTTCTAAGGGGTAAGTAGATTAGAGATGTGACCACTAAAGCTATTAATAATTAATTTATTGATTTTACTTAATTAACACTTTAGTATAAGTCTCGGCAATTACTTTTGGCTCAGTTTCGGTTCCTAGCTCGGGGAAAATTTATTATTGAAATATGGATATTTTCTAGCTTTAAAAAATTCTGTCATAAAATTTGTGCTACTGTACTTACCTATTATATGCACTTCTGCTTAACCGTTTTATGAATTTAGGACGGAGTATTCTATGTTATAATACTTTTCACACACATACGCACACATACACATATGCACACATAGTGTGCAGAATTTATTTTATCTATTTAATTTCATATTTAAATCTATTTTCTTTTCCTTATTGAGGGGCGGTACCGCCGTCCGTGAGTCACTGCAGGGTGCCACCTGAAAATCAGCGTTGGGCAGGAATGCTCAACTATATGCTGAGGTGGAGGCCCTTTTGGCATGTGCACACGCAGTATTATATTATTTATATTATGGTGTTTTTTTTTGTGTATTTAATTTGTCTTTATATCAAAAACTTATTTCAATTGTTTCATATGTACATTATTTTCTTATATTTTGATGATTTTTATTATTTTCTTTATGCTTTTATGTTTCCTTTTGATATTATGTATTTGTGTAAGTATGTACTTGTATTTTTTTTTTCATAATTGCCAATCAGGCTATCATACTTTCGCCGTTTGAGGTTCTCGGCAGCAGCAGCGGCAGCACCGGCTCGACACGCTGAGTTTGGAAGATGGGATGGCGCCAGAGTATCAACGCAAGTGGCGTCCCATACTAAAGGCCTACCCATCTTCCAAGGGAATAATGACATACCGTCGGGTCTCTTGCCATCGTTGCGTACCAAGCCATTAGGTTCTAAAGTAGCTGGCACGCCAACGGAGACAAGAGCTCGACGAATTATGTCATTAATACTCGCGTGTCGAGCAAAACGACCCGCACTACGGCTACACGACAAGCCGTGGTGTCCAAGGCTGTTGACATCTTCACCACAACGACAACGATGAGGTGAACAAAATGAAGCCCCAAGCCTTAAACAAATTGCAGCGCGGAATGTGGTGTCGTCCAACAAAGTACCTAAGTTGGACGAAGGCAAAGCAAGAAGCCATAACCCTGACTCCCACTCACCCACAGCCAAAAGGCGAGCTCGCTCTGCAGTTGAACAAGCGGAGTTCAATAGATTTTCGTTCACTTTCCTGCAGAGCGGCTCGTCCCATTGTCTCTGGGAGAGTGATTTGACGGGGGGGTCAATATTTGGGCAAGCGATTTTCCAAGCTTTCACAGCTTCCACTAAAAATGGTACATCAAAATTAACCAGTGATTGAGAAAGAATTTTCCTGGTTAATTCTTCAGTACCATGGGCGGAAGATATGAAAGCTGGTAGGCTTACACTGGAAATTTTACGGACGCCAAGCCCACCCATGCGGACAGGCAGAGTAGCTTGTGTCCAGGCTCGGTCGTCGAGAGCCACATTCAAAATTAAGGATAAAGTTTGTCTAATGCTTCGGTCAATTTTTTCTAAAAGAAGGGGTGCAGACCAGAGGTGGGTCGAGCGCAAAAAATACATAAATTTGGGACCAAAACAACAAAAACGAATAATAGTATAGGCCGAATGCATTCTAATGTGATACAGTCTTTCTGAAACGACAGAAAAATTTTGAATTTTTTCATCAATAAAACTTTGAAAAGAGTCCTCGAAGACGGGCGCACCTAGGAGGCGAAGCGAACATTTATCGACAACCGAGATATTAGGCGCAAAAGTAGTAAATTTTGATATGATCTGTCTGTCGGTAGAGTCATGTAAAAATATCTCACACTTGGAATAATTTAGGTCAAGGCCAATAGCATGAAGTTCGTTTTTTAAAAATTGGAAATCATTTAAAACTGTATCTGCATCGCCTCCCAGGGTACCGTCATCGAGGTACCACACATTAATATAATTAGTATATTTCTTCTTTAAAGTAGATGCGACCTTCAAATCTTCAAGAAAAGAGCGTCATTCCTTTTTAAAAGGCCGGCAATACACCTGCGACTCCTCTGGTGTTCCAGGTGTCCATGGGCGGCTCTGATCGCTAACCATCAGGTGATCCGTCTGCTCGTTTGCCTCCTATTCCATAAAAAAAACTTCAGACTTGTTAAGCATTGAACTACTAATTATAATTATTGGGTTTAGTAATGTTCAACTCCCGGCTTATGCAACTTTGGCTTCCGATTTCAAACTTCCAATTCGTAATAGAATAGAGTACCAAATTGCGTCCGATGTTTAGCAATGGGGACAGCCTAACTACGTCTCGCAAGGATATTGGTAGCCTTGACCCTGGTAACGCATTCGAGAATGTTCGATTTCACCAATTGGGTACTTGTCAACTAGTCAAATTCAATACTTTTTTTCGAACTGTCAAAGACGACAGTTTTCTATGAATTTTGGTACGAGATTGTGTATTGTGACGTCACGTTTTTTAGCGTCAAACAACGTACTTATTTGATTTAAACATGCTGGAAAAATATGAAAATTAAGTTGGTCATAAAATCAATCAATGAAAGTGTGATTATTTTTTTACATTTTATTGTATTGAACAGTCGAAATAATTTATTTTTGATTAAGGAAAGTACCCAATTTACTAAGTATTAGATTCTCGCGGCTTTGCCCGTGCAAATTAGAATTAGGCTATCTCTTTACCAGTGTCGTGGTGACCCAGAGGTTTGCCCGCTTCTCATGCACGAGAGTGCGGGTTCGAAACCTACGAATGGCAAATACCTTTATGATGTTTTACGACTTATATGTACTTTCTAATCATATAAGTTTGAAATCGCCAACCCGCATTGTGCAAGCGTGGTGATTAATGCTCAATCGGCACCGCCCATGGACACCTGAAACACTAAGGCGTTATAAGTGCGTTACCGGCCTTCTGAGGATTAGGAATTTGAAGATTAATGGGGATTGGGGGTTTGGGAAGATGAGGAAGGGGGGGGGGGGAATTGGGCCTCCGGTAATCTCACTGGCATAACGAAACAGAACGCAAATCGGTTTATTGCTCGGCCGTGGTATCACTCCGGTCGAGCCGGCCCATTCGTGCCGAAGCATGGCTCTCCCAAACTTAAAAAGCACTATAATTATGGAACAAAGGTGTGAGCTCATGTGTAATTATGTCATCATCATAACATCATTAACAGCCTATAAATGACCACTGCTGAGCAAAGCCTCTTCTCACACGGAGAAGATTTGAGCATTAATCATCACGCTTGCTCAATGCGGGTTGGCGATTACAAACTTATAATTAGAAATTTTAAGTCCTGGTTTCCTCATGATGTTTTCCTTCACCGTTTGTCAGTGGTGTCTAAATAATCTTAGAAAGTACTTATAACTCGGAAAAAGTCACATTGGTACTTGCCGTTGGTAGGTTTCGAACCCGCACCCTCATGCATGAGAAGTGCGTTATAAACCTCCGGGTAATTATATACGTATGTATATATGTAGCCAATGTAGGTAACATATTGGATGCGCCTGATACAAAACACCATCGTTTGAATATTATATCGAGAACCTTCATTCTTCAATTTAGGTGTTTGTAGGTATACAAAAACTCTAATCGTGGATTTTATGTGTGAATAACAAAATTACTAAGCGCAAGGTCTAAGTATCGATTCCCAAGTCATTTAGAAGATTTGGAAATTTCCAGCACCTAATAGTGTAAGAAACAATAGCTTATAGGTTCACCACACCGGTTATTTTTTATGGTATAAGCCGGTAAACGAGCAGACGGATCATCTGATGGTAAGCAATCGGCGTCGCCCATGGACACCTGGAACACCAGAGGCGTTACAAGTGCGTGACCGACCTTTTGCGGATTAGGAGTTTGAGAATTATTGGGGATTGGGTAAGGGGGAGGGGGGTTGGGCCTCCGGTAACCAAGAACATGACATTCATAACACTATATTAATGCCATTTTATATCTATACTTAAGAAGGCAAAATACTATCGGATCCAGGAATCGAACCCAACCCTTTACTTGGAAGGCTCGTATCATAAAAAACAGTACGAAACAAACACATCTGTCCATCGCTTTCAAACAAAATACGTGATATTATGTTGAATAAAATTCCTAGTACTTATATCTAGGTCATCTAGGTCAAGGGATAGATACTAGATTACTAGATACGAACCATTTATACTGAACTGTTCGAAGGTGGTCATTTGTGACTGTATTTAATCGATAATGTGGGAAAACAATGTATGGTCGTCAATTGTTATTATGGAGTAGCTCCACGTGGTATAACGCGCTATGCTCGGCTCCTTTTATTATGGCACTAGCTACTTCCGCGCAGTTTCACACGCTCTGCTCAGCTCCTATTGGTCGTAGCGTGATGTTTTACAGCCTATAGCCATCCTCGATAAATGCGCTATCCAACACAAAAATAATTATTCAAATCAGACTTGTAGTTACGGAGATTAGCGCGTTCAAACAAACAAACAAAAAAACAAACTCTTTATATAATAGTATAAGATATAAGATAGGAGGCAAACGTGCAGGCGGATCACCTGATGGTAAGCGATCAGCGCCGCCCGTGGACACCTGCAACACCAGAGGAGTCACAGGTGCGTTGCCGGCCTTTTAAAAAGGAGTACCTACGCTTCTCTTGAAGGTTTGAAGGTCGTATCGGTTCGGAAATACCGCCGACGACAGATCATTTCACAGTTTTGCTCTGCGAAGCAGAAAGCTACGAAAAAAACACACAGTTGTTTTTTTCGCAATGGAATAGGAGTCAAACGAACAGACGGATCACCTGATAGTAAGCGATCAGCGCCGCCCATGTACACCCGCAACATCATAGGAGTCACAGGTGCGTTGCCAGCGAAAAGGAATACGCTCTTTTTTTGAAGGTTTGAAGGTCGTATCGGTTCGGAAATACCGCCGACGACAGACCATTCCACAGTTTTGCTGTGCGAGGCAGAAAGTTACAAGAAAGATACACAGTTGTGGCCAATTGATTGTATCATTATATATTATTAATTGATAGTAGCATTACTGCCTCGTTGGCCGAGTGGTCGCAAGTGCGACTGCCGGGCAAGGGGTCTCGAGTTCAATTCCCGGGTCGAGCAAAGTATTACTAGGTTTTCTAAAAACAAAAAATGTCAGTGGTAGCAGTGTCAGTGGAGTCGAATTGTGACCGGTCGAATTTATTATTATATCCTTAATCGCAATAGATAAGTACAACTACTAAATAATAAATACGTATTTTAAAACAGTTACATGAACTTGATAATCTCTTGAACCGATGAATTTAAGAAAATATTTTTACTTTTTGATAGTTCCGATTATCTAGCAAGGTTAAACAGGCTATCTAATCACACATGACACTTGAAAACCCAAGACCCATCTGAAATACTTTGTTGTTTTATTAAAAACGTAATGAACGTCGTCGTGGTGGCCCGGAGGTTGAAGACGGTCGAAACCTACCAACGGCAAGTACCAATGTGACTTTTTCCGAGTTATATGTACTTTCAAATATTATTTAGACACCACTAACCAACGTTGAAGGAAACATCGTGAGAAAACTTGGACTTATAATTTCTTATTATAAGTTTGAAATCGCCAACCCGCATTGAGCAAGCGTAGTGATTAATGCTCAAACCTTCTCCGTGTGAGAAGAGGCTTTGCTCAGCAGTGGGCATTTATAAGCTGTTGATGAATAAACTTTACGCCTTTTAATATTTGAAGAAGTAAAGAGAAGTGCATAGGTCAGAGATGGCGAACCTTTACGTTGATACGTAGATATATTATTATCTCTTTAAAAAAATGGTAGTTATGTGAATTGGAGTCATATGCAATTTAATCAGCAATGGTATACATCTATATATATAAAAATGAAACCCGTTTCCGTTTTGTCAGGCCGACTGCTTACCAGGTGATCCGTCTGGTCGTTTAAACCGGCGCCGGCTCTAGTTCGTTTGGGCTTAATTTTTTACTGTTTTACGAATGTTTTAAGTTGTAGGTACTTAGCACGCAGTCTGGAATTGTGCCCGGTTAACTACAATAGGCTCGTTTCCTGACATTCATATTATCTGAGTAAAAAAACATCAATTCTTGAAAATTAACTTAGTTTTTTGTTTCAGCTACCAACTCGCAATTCCCAAGAAGTCATAAGCTAAAGTGACGTCATCATAATTATCAGCATACAGAAGAAGCCTGCTGAACTAAGGCCCTTAAGTCTACGACATACAATAATTCGCCATCCTGAATCAACGGGACAATTAAGTATTGGTGATAGTGAAAAACCAGATTGTATTGTATTGTGCTAGTGACAAAACCGTATTGTATTGGTGTTGGGGATAAAACTGTATTGTATTGTGACTACAGTTATAAAAAAGGTGTAAAAATGAGGTCGTTTTTAATATTTTGTGTGTTTATATTAACATTAAGTTCAGTGTTAAGTTCAACTTATTTCTTTGGCGAACAAACTAAGAATACGAGGATAATATATCAGGACAAAGTGCGGTATGAAGCTATACCCTTGAAGAAACGTGTAAAGACTTATTCGTATAATGGAACAGTGCCTATCAAGGTATGATTACTTGTTAAATTGTTAGATAGTAAACATTTCTTTAAGTCATCACGCGTTCTATCCGCGCCACAGATGGGGTTCAATAGGTCCGATGTCCGATATAGAGGCGCGGCGGACTTAACGGATTGCCGGCGCTCCGGCTCGAAGTGCAGGAGTAGGAACGGGGTGGTGTTTAGTCAGCATGAGTCTGACACTCCCTCTCGCCTTACCTAAAGCGGGATGAGTCGTTGGATGTATTTTCACCGCTCAACAAAAGGGCATAGGGCGTTAAACGATTGCCTGATGGTAAGCCATCAAGCAATCAACACCGCTCATAGACAGCCGCAATACAAGAGGATTTACGAGTGTGTTGCTGGCATTTTGGGAGTTAGGTATAAATTTGCTATTGAAGCCATGCTAGAGGCTCATATTCATGAGCAGCAGTCCGCGGAATACTTGAAACTAGTCGAGTTCCTCGTCAAAAAAATTACGTGAGTAAGCTGAAAACATAATAATTAATTCAAATTAATTCAAACATAATAATAATTAAGCAAGTATATATTTATATATTATGTATATATGTATGTATGTAGGCATATTGTACTCATGTGTAGGTATACATTATAATTAAATTTATTTATGTATGTATATCTATGTAATATATTAGTTTATCTTTCATTGTTAAATAAAAACACTGCTTGCCTCTTGCACCTACCATTTACTCTTCTCTGCATCACCCAAAGGTCAGACTGGTAGAAAATGCCTGCGGCATTAAGTCCACCTTTTTGTACATTTTGTGCATGAAGCATTTTAAATAAATAAATAAATAAATAAATT